AAACTATTGACAAACGGTATCCCGACGAAGCTTCAAGTCGCAACGGTAACCCCCCCCCCCCTTTCAACGAAACTTAGCCACCTCTGCTGCTCGTGATCCCAGGTACATTGGCCACGACTTACGATATAATTGTGAACCAAAGAATACAGTCCTCTTTCGCGCTGCAGCGAAGCAGCAAGGTGGTCCACACAACTATACAGTTAGTCAAAGTGTACGCAATTCTCCGCGTAGTTCTCACCAAGACCCGACAGCTACCCAATTTGTGGTTGGAACCACGTTGCTTCGACTAGTAGGATGGTCAACGCACCGACTGACAGCTAAGATTCCAATTCCTGCAGCTTGTCTCACGCCGCCTCTCCCTCGCTGCCTGCCCCTAGCAGCTTCATTCGGCGGCGAACAGTGTACCCGTCAGCAAGTCCAATGCTAGTTTAGAAGCGGAGAGGCACTGATATTTCAACAACAGAAAGTCAAAGTTCAAAGTTCGGATGTCAATAATGCATACTCTCGCCACCACAAACATAGGTATTCAGTGCCCCTTTCCTCAACTTGGCACTCAACGCCCAGACTACCATCGCACACCTGTTAGCAGCCTATATCGACTACACCCCTCTTATCGTCAGTAGTAACAACCGTGGTGCACGAAGATGTCGACGTCATAGACTATCGCCAAACCCAGGTAAGTACTCTGTCATCCTCTCCCTCACCTCTCTCTCACTACTACCTGATGCACCTGGCCAACTCTTCGACCAGGTTCACACATTTGTAGCCCCTTCCATGTGGGAAGGCAGAAGCTGAGTGCACAGAACACCGCCGCTATGGTCGAAAACACCACTGGATCAGGCCGTGTAACGAAGGCAAACAACAACGGCAAAAACCAACGGTCGGGATGAAGATATCCCCCGCGTCCCGAACTGTTAGTCGCCTGTGCGTAAACGAGAGTGAATCTTCCGTTGGATTCGGGCAGATACACTGCCCTTCGAATCAGCTCCTCCTACTCGCTAGCCCACGTACATCGTGGCTCGATCTTCGTCTCATCTTGCATTGCCAGTTCCTACGGTAAGCTCTCCAACTCTCGACGGACCTCTTGCTACTACCACCGATCGAACGATAAAAAATCGAGCGTACCCGCCGCTAGATCGCAGCCGGGTGCACCTCCATGTTGCCTCTTCTATTTACCACGATACTCCTCCGCGCAGCCTCTAGTCACTACGCCACTCAAATTATGCAGCCAACTCCGATTCTGACTTCATAGATCGATTCGCAGGGTCCAAAAACCCAGGAATTGCATCTTAGTTTACCCGATTTCGTTGAGAATTGGATGAACTATTCATCCCTAGCGCCTCCCAGCTTACTCCGTCCATCTCCGCGCAGTGCCTTCACTTCATACCGCAAGATCCGTTGTTCCAACTCTAAATTCGCCCTCACTATCGGGCTCGCTAAAATTGACTCTCCTTTCATTGATTCCATGGAGAACCGTGTATGTTATCCTCTCTCTATCGCGCCTCGTTTCTCTCTACACCATCTCACTATTGAACGCACCTGGCGCAAAACTGTGCCTACATTCGTTTTCACTTCCCTGTTCTCCTTCGTCTCCGTCTGCGCCCGTTTCCCTATCGTCTGTCCGCTCCTTGCATGCGTTCACGACCTCACCTTCCCATCGACCGCTCACCCTTCCTACGCTTGCCTTATCTCCTGCCGCACTTCGTACCGACGGGCCTCCAATCCGTTTTCCCTTTCCTCTGTGCGGGTTGCCTCAGCTCTCCCGTTCCTCTTCCTCGTCTCCCTTTTTGCGCTCGTTGCCCTGTCGGCCGTCTCATCCACAGGGCTCCGCCCTGCCTTACTCCGCATGCCTAGAGCCCGTCGCCCACTACGCTATCTGCTCGTTGATCCTGTCCTACACCTCCCTTACGACTCTGCGCTCCCCTTTTTGCTGCCCGTCGTTCCCCTGCGCTATTGCTCCGCCCGCTGCTACCTAGCGCTTCCCAGCCAGACCCACTGCTCGCTACCTAGAGATATGTCGTTGGTCCCTCCCCTTTTTGCTATGAAGCGGTCAGGTACATTGACCGCGAGGGACAGGCTCAGAGATGCGCCACGCGATTCTTCTAGGGGAGCTGCGATGGGAGCCAGCTATGTTGGCTTACTTAGCCCCTCACCCCTATACCTATGTTTGTTGGGCGGCCTGCATGTTAGCCACTGTAAACCTCCACCAAGCCCCCCTTGGTTTCCTCTTCCTTGCAGGCTTGGCTGTCTGAATCCCTCAGTCCACGTTCCAAGACGGGCAGGGCGCAAAAATCTTGCCAACACCTTGAACACGCGGAATCCAAACGGGCTTACTAAAAGAGGCGCGTGTTCAAGGTCCTTCACTGCCGCGACGACTTTTAAATCCACGTTGCGTCAAAGTCAAAGGACGTCGGGGCATAAAAATAACGACAATAAGTAATAAAATATTGAGAAAATTTTAATATCAGAATAAGATGAACAGCAAAAACAGAACTACTAGTACCGTTCTGACGCCGCTGACGGCAAAACCAAGGGAGATAGCCCTGTCGGACCCTCAACCCATTGGTTTTCCCTCTCGTCGCCCCAATATTCCCGTGTCGGCGCCCGCTGGCCTCGATCCCTGAATTCCCTGGATGAAAGTTCGATGTTGTAACCAATAGTGCTAGGCCCAAGGCTGGGTCTAGTTTTAGCGGACACCTAGATAAAATGATACTATGCGACATGCAGATCTACCGAAACGTTTCAATTCCTCAGACTGGCCTATCAGGAGAACTCACGACCGCCAACCTCCTACGTCCATCGCGCGACTATACCTAACCATGCCGCCGTCAACGTCGTCCTCCGCACGTACGCATAAGGCACAGGCAAGCACACCAATCAAGTCTCAATCTTTGAAATCTTAGTTTAATCAGAAATAAAATCTGGCCGGCGACCAATGCTGGTTTTTCAATCATCAACAATAAAAAATCAAACGCGCCTCAAGTCTGCACGCCCACACACTCTCTACTCTAGTCAACCATTCAGTCAAACGTAAACCACAGACGCAGTCGTGCCTCGCGCGGTATACCTGAACTTTAAGTCAAGCTTATTCTCTGTCGTTTGCAAAAAACAGGGCGGATATCGTTGTAAGGGTATTCACACCGACAACTTTACCGGACCATATTAAGCGACGTCCCCGTCGCTTCACCGAATCAAAAGCTATCAGTCCATCCAAACTCCAAATGCTGACGAGAAAGGAACCAATCCGATTAGCTAACAGACTCCGGTTCGAGGCCTCCATCAATCCATGCCAAACACAACTTTATGCTGTCAGGATTCTAGCTAGGTCTCCATTGTCATGCCACTAGGACGGTGGGATACTCATCACTATACTACAACATAAATCCCAATCAATTTCTCGCTGTCCTCTCCCCTTTGTCCTAGACAAACGCCAGCTTCTTATTAGGTGTCCCTAGTCTCTACCCTGCAAGCAGGGCCATAACTAGGGACGCGAACCCTAACTGAGACCTTTGAAGACACTCTCGCCTCCCTCCCAACAATTCTCACAATCAAATATATATATATATATACATAAATTTTATCTTAGACCTTTCCTACAGTCTAGTGCAGGAAGGTCAGGTCTCCATCCTGGCCCACCATAGTCTGGGTGATCGTGCCAGATCTACCGCCCACTGCGTTGTTATTTTAGCGGTAGTGCCTTCGCAGGTTGCGCCACGTTAGGCTTTCTCCTGATAAGCATTCAATCAGGACAAAAAAAAACTCGATTATTATCCCACGCTTTCCCGCAGGGGTAAGACCCTCCTAGGTGGCCAAACCCCTTTAAGTCTCTACTCCCATCGCAAGACGTAGGCCAGCTGTTTAGGTTACGTCGATCATCAGCCGACACTAGGGGTTGCGCCCCAGTGATGCTAAACTTTACCGTTAGCTTGGTATTCTCATAAATGTCCTAAGATTAGCACAAGTGGTTGGACGGTGTGTTGCAACAATAGAGGCCTACTGCGGGACTACGCAAAGGTGTGTCACACATAAAAGGTATTTACCAGTCCTCTGTGGGACAACACAGAGAAACGCAACAACCTCTCCACTTTCACAAAATAAAATCACCGCCAGATTCACAAGACCATGACCTCCCAACTTGATCAGAGTAAGAAAGTCACCTCTCAGCGACACCTCCCAAGTAAATCACTTTTGCGACCTCTAAAATTTCACCAATGGCCAAACAAAAACTTGGTCCTTCTCGTCGGTCTTTATCATTCAAAGTCAATTTACCATGCCATTAAATCTATTAACCGCTTTTCATACGAAGGAGGTCTCTCTTAATAGGCCTCTCAATCATCCCTTCTCTTTCTAAGATGAACTCTCATGCGACTTTTCTTTTAAAACATCTTCCCTCTCTGAAGACGAGTCTTCCAAATAAGTACAAGACTACCTTCCCCAGCGAAGGTTTCTTAACCATAAAATAACTCAAACTGAGGGACCAACTTTTGGGTCCTCATTGCAACTCAACAATAAACATTTGGCATGGTAAGCGTTCGAGTCTCAAGGACTCATAAATCTCTTAGGATTCTCACAACCTTCACAAAAACAGACAGCACTCCCTCTCCTTATACCCGGCCCTATCATCCGCTCATGGGCAGATCGCACGAGTATACTGAAGAGTAGGCAGTTCACATTCATTCATATTCACAAAAATACATAGCATACAAGATGCCTCTCATATACCCTCACACAAAACCATCATACTTCAGGATAAATCCACACATATGAGAGTGATTGTGATCGTCATATACAGGGAGATAGTCCGAGATAAAACCTAAACTCAGTATACACTCACGGGTGAAATATATCATCAAAAACATGAGTAATAGTCCAGGTTCGTAGCTCACTTGAACTAAACAAAGTCACCCTCAATATGATACAAGATTGCCCATGCCGTCAAAGATGCCCTGAAACAAGAACTGAATCCAACTCTCAAGAGCCAGAGAAACAACCACAGTATATACATGCCATGTCATTGATTCATGGTCCTTATGTCCCCAAAGAAAAAAGCTCAGTGGCTAACAAATACTCGATAACACTCATACGCTGTAATCTCCTATCTGTACAACCAACAGCGTATGTACTCCAGATCCTAAAAAGGCCAAAAAAAAAAGAGCAAAAGTAGGTTCAATTATCCGACCCTAAACATGCCAATTCAACCCAACCCCATAATGTCGTAATGACCATCAATACATAGGTGAACCAGTCCCTACTCACTCATCTCCTCCTGGTTTTACGTATACAACTGAGCCCTGCCCCCATCTGCAGATCTCTCCACCACTGTACCCTGTCTAGCATACATCCTTCCTTCACTCTCAGTGACCTTCCTTGATGCTTTGTCCTTGAGGAACTTAGGACACTCAAGAGCCCAATGCACACCATCCTTGCCGAAGAAGCAGAGTTGATCAACCTTCCTTCTGAACTTCTTTCTCCTTGGCGGTGGTGGTGGTGATGAGGGAGATCCCACTACCTCAGTAATAGCCTCCTGCTGCTCTGTTCCAGGGGCCTGGTTCCCAGAACCTGATCCGGTGGCCCAAGATCCTAATCCACTCCTCAGTTCACCCATTTCTGGGACGTACTCAGGGGTATCCAGTCTCTGCGGTCTGCCCTCAGGCATCTCCTCTACCATAGTTGCTGGTATCTCCTCACGAAGAACATCCACCCTCTGCTCGGGTATGGATGCGCTCGCTCCCTCCTGCATAGTGTCAACCGCCTCCAGGAGCACATCCATAGGCCCCTCCCCTGAACCCTGAACCGGCTCGCTGCTAGCTGTTTGTTGTCCTCCCTCGACTGACATTGGCATAGTCACTCTCATGGGCTCCACAGATGCCGTCGGCAAAGTGGCGAGTTCAGTAGGTGCCCTGAACTCAAAGGCCTCTCTCTCTGCCTCCCTCTTCGCCTTTGCCTCCTCTGGCCCTAGGATAACCTTCCCCATGGGCGGTCCCTGGGAAGGCCTAGCAACGGATGGCTGCTCACATAGGTCCTGCGCTGACTTCCCCTGACTGCCATATTGACCACTCTCCGTCCAGTCCATTACTCTAGTAGGTCCCTTTCTTTCTGTCCTGGCCGCCACGTCTCGAGGCTGCCGTCTCAAATCCTGGATAATGGCAGCTTGGCTAGCCACCAATGCCCTGGGCTCTCGGACCTCTGCCTCAACCGCCTCCAAATGCACTCCATGACTCACTTCCTTCGTCTTTTTTTCGGCCAGATCGTCTTCCAACATCAAATACCTATTGAAAGAAGCCTTGGCCAGGAAGCGGATCTTTCGGTCCAGGTACTCATCCGCCGTCCTCGATGTCCCGAGTCCTGCTTTCTTTGGAGCCGCCAACCCCTCGCCATATTGTCCCCAAAACTCATTCCACATTTGCGCGTCAGGTGGCTGATCCGGAAGTGTTCCTGTCGCCTCTAATCTCTGCCTCTCCTCCCAAATCTCCTCCACGCGCTTCCCCACTCTGGCCCGTCTCTCCTCTGCTGTCTCCCCTGTCGGAGCTTTCCCTCTTGTTCGATGGTCTGCTCTCTTCGGAATTTCGGCCCCCGCCTCTCTCTCTGGCTGCCGCGACTCCCGAGAAAGGGCCTTTCTTCTCCGGTCCGCCCTCTCTCGCTCCATCCCTATCCTCATCGTCGACGAAAGGGGCACCTCTGAGGGAGGTCGTGGGATCTCCTCTTGTCGGGGCTCCTCCTCCAACCTCTATCACCTCCTTTACTATGCTTCCACCCTGAGCACCTCGCCTTACGTCTCTCTCTCCCTCACAGACCTCCTCTAGTGGCACATCTCCAGCCAACTCATCACGCCCCTCATCAGCCTGAGGCACTCTCCATTGCGAAATATCCTGGTGCGCCTTCAGTTCCTGCAATGATCCCTCGGATGGCGGCACCTCCTTTCTCGCGTGCTGGGGAGATCCGCTCAACTTTGCTCCAGTAAAGCGTTGGAAGACCACTGGGCCTATCCCACACTCAGGATATGCCCCTCGCTCTTCCGCCACAGGTACTGACTCCTCCTCTCGCCTAGCGAGCGCCTTTCGTCCTCCTCGAGATGGCATGGCCTCTCTGGGCTCAAGGTCCCTCTGCCTCTTGCTCCTCTTCCGTCTCTCGACCCTAGGCTGAGGTGGCTCTGGTCGTCGAAAAACCTCCCTCAGGTGTGCCCTGCAGCTCGCCTAGTTCCGGGCCATATCCCAATCTGCCTGGCCAATGGTCTCTCTGCCTTCCTGGTCCAAAGGGGCAACGTCCACGCCCACTCATCCCTCTGTATGCGCTGATCGTGCATGAACTGCTCAAAGGCGGGGATGAAGTCCTCCACATTCCCGATTTCCAGGCGGATTGGCTTGCCATCTGGTCCCACAGGTGACAGTCTTAACTCCTGCATCCTCATCTCCACCTCTGGCCAGGTCCTCGCCTCCCTACGGATCTGCGCGATGGGCTCCCCCAAACCTGCCGGCCCCTCTCAGCCTCTCAATCATCTGGGTCACCGTCCACCCTCTATCCTGCGCATACCCTCGAAAGTCGTCGAAGAAGAGCTCTATATCTCCATCACCATATGTGGGCATGTGCTCTCTCCTATAAGACCCATGCCGCTCATAATCTCCCGATGCTCCCAATGGCCTCCGTGACGGCCGCGTCCCCCTTCCTCCTCTCGACATGGCTGTCTTCGTAAAGTAAAACCTGCACAACAGGCGAAGGAGACGACAGACACACATTGGGGTAAGCAAACAGGCGGAATAGAACAGCCTCAGGTCAAACCATGCACACCCATCCAACCTATAGATCCTATCATCCCATTCCCCCCTATGTCCTATCTATGGATCTCTCCTACATACTTAGGATCCTACTTTAAAAGGAGTTGGATCATCTATCTTACCTCTTCTCTTGCCACAAATTTCTTCAGCCTCGTTCCCGATACCCAATCTTCTTATTCCGTTTCATCCAGCTCTTCAATCTAGTAGGCACCGAAATCTCCACATCGTACAATTCGATACGGCCCTAGCCACCTTTTATCAAGCTTCCTGGACCACTGTTTCTCCAGGGACAAGTCATATAGCAATACGACGTTCCCAACCACCAAAGGTACCTTCCGTACTCGCGCCATCTGGTCTCAGCGAGCCTTATCCTCCATACGGCTCTTTTCCAACTGATTGGATGCTTCCTGAATCCTTTCCTCAATCGCACTCACCTGTTGCGCTCGAATGTCGAGCAACTCCTCAAAAGATAGGTTCGTTTCTAAATCCCGACCCCTCTAAGTTTTCAAGAAGCTCTCAATTGGGAAAGTATCGTGCCTCCCGTACCATAACGTGGCTGACGCGTACTTAGTGGTCCTCTTCACTGTAATATTCTCGATAAAAAACGCCGCCCTTAGGTATCTTTGCCACTGCTTAGGCTTACCTTCAATCCACTTAGCCAGAAGGTTCGTGATGGTGCTATGCCCTCTTTCAACTGGAGCATTTGCCTGGGGGTGTGCGGCCGTGGTATAATTGGCTACCACGCCGTACCCTGACAACAACTCTTGCACTTCCTGGCAGGTAAACTCTGACCCTCTATCCATCACGAACTCTCTGACAAAGGGATAACGTAGGTAGTATTCCTCGAACCGGTCTTTGTACGAATGGCCCGTCCATCTACATAGCCAGAAAGGTTATCACGCGCATCGAAGATATAATTGTAGCCATGATCCCCAATTGACATGCAGAGCTAGTCGAGATGTACTACGGCCCCTACCTCCCTTTCTAACCTTGGATGCAGCGGCTCTCCTGGCCTCTGAGGAGACCTCTCTTGACAAAATACGCAGGAACGGCATAACTTACTGACCATCTCCATCATTCCATCCCAATAGTACAACTCGCTTATTTTGGCATACGTGGCACTAATTCCTCGATGCCCTCCCGCAATACCATCTTGAGGCGCAGCTATAACATCGATCTGACGGTTCCTGCCACACACAACCCTTCTAGGGTTTCCCACTTGCCTCTTTACAAAAAGATGACCATCTCTCACCAAATAGAGATGCCTCATCTTTCTAGCCCTTTCGCTAGCATCCCTATCCCGCATCTCACATGATAGGAGAAGTCCCAGCTCCAGGTAGATTCCATCATACTCCTCTGCACGGAATGCCTCTTTCATCTCTCCCTCCTCAAACTCGTCATCCTGGCGTTCTAGCACATCTCCATTCTCAGTTGGATTCAACGAGCTTATCTGATCAAAATTCCCCTGTAGAAGCGTATTGACGAGGAGGTACATCCCTCCCATAAATTCCTCGTGCTTCTCTACCTGGTCTGTCCCTTCCTCTATCGTTCTCACCTCCTCCATCAGACTATGCGTACCTACCAGTGCCAACTTCATCATCCTTTGAACATCCTTGCCGCCCCATGGGTCTTCTTCCTCAAAAGGCTAAAGTACCAGCTCTGCCTTCTGTTCATATCCCCTTGGTGCAAGCTAAATAGGATGACCGACGCAATTCGGCACTCGCAAGGACCATTTATTTATGTGAAGACGGATGTCTTCTTCTTGATCCAGAAACCCATCAACCGGGGGCGCAGCCTCTACCGCCTTCTCCTTCTGCTGATCCCAGTCGATGTGCCTCAACCCATGTGCTCTATTCTTGTTCCCAGGGATTCTTTCCAGCTCAAAGTTAAACATCCAGATGTAAGTCAACCACCTGGCGACTGTAGGATCCGCTAGAACATAATTCCTTAATGAGTAGGCGAGCGCGGTTGGGTTCACCCTTAATATGAACCTCCTGCCAAAGATATAATTTTGGAAGATCCTTAGGCAGTGAAGGACAACGAACGTTTTCTTCTTGAACTGAGAGTAATTTCTCTCAGTCGTATTAAGTGTCCGACTCTCAAACCTCAATGACCTCTCTTTTCCTTCATTATCTGCCTGAATCAGGACTCCTCCCAAGGCAGTCGGTCCAGCGTCCGTTTCAACGACGAATGGTCTTACCTCCGTAGCGTCATAGTCCGACGCTCCCAATACTAACCCTCCTTCTCGAAACTCCTTCTTCATCCTAGCCACAACCTTGTCCTGCTCCTCACCCCAGATCCATTCCTGATCTTGACGAAGCAACTTCCTCAAGTGCTCGGTCTTGGCGGCAAAATTCTTAATGAAGGTCCTCCAGAACCCAAAGGTGTCGAGGAAGCTTCTAACATCTGTTATCGAATGTAATGGTACTGACCATTCGATAATCTTGTCCGTCTTTTTCACGTCCGGTCGACGACCCTTTTCACTACAGATGAACCCTAAGATGGTAGCCTCCCTCATGCAGTGTTTGGATTTGGCTCCACTTGCCGTGAGGTTGTGCTCCTCAAGCAAGCTCATGACTTTATCAAGATCCTGGATGTGCTTCCAGACAAAACGCCTTACTCGCGGCAAGACTTCGTCATTCTCCTTCTTTGTCGGTCCTTTCACCGCCAAGTCATCGATATATGGCTAAGTGATATGCGGGCTGACGGACTGCATGGCCCGAATCATATGTCGTTGAACCATCGCCACTGCATAAGTCCACCCTTGTGAAGCCACATTCATATGGATCAACCCTCTAGGCGTATGCATCGCTGTCACCAGCCTGTCTGGCGGGTAGACTGGAAACTGATCGTACCCCGAGTAGAGGTTTATAAGTGAAATTATAGGCCTTCCAGCACAAGACTCTGACAGTGCATCTGCATTTGGCAAACCTCCCGCATCTCGCACAGTCACTGCATTCAGCCGTTGCAAGTCTTGCACCCACCACAACGTCCCATTAGGCTTAACAAAACAAAACCATGGAGACACATACGGTCCACTTGAGTAGTCGGCGACATGCGTACGTATCTTGTCGTCAAGGTAATCCACCACCTTCTTCTCTTCATCAGGATTAGGATATCGTGCCCCTCTCAAATTCCAGGGCTCGTGCGGCACGGTATGAATCCGGATCATGGGGATCTTGTCCACATCCAATCTTCCTCGCTGATCATTATTGAATGCATAGGTACGATGCCTCTTCTTCATTAACTCTATCATCAGCGCCCTTTCCCGGGGTAGCAGGAACCCCGGCTCTCCCACTATCAACTTTTTCTCATTCCCTTCATTGATACACCACGACCTCGTAGCTGCTTGCTCCCTCATGCGCCGTATCAATCCTCGTTCCCGTTCGTAATAAACCTCCTCATCTTCCGTGACAAGAATGAAAACTGGGCGGCACTTCTTGTCTATTGTCTTGTACCGCCTTTGGGAACCCTGCTTGAGCCGTCCCCTAAAAAAAAACGGCTTACTGCTTGCGCCTGCATTAACGCAGGGTCCCTCCTTCCATCCGGAAGCCGATAAACCAACTCGAGTTCCCCAGCCCGGGGACACTCCAGGATGTGTTCCCTCAGTGCCTGGATGGCGTCTGGATCCGGCATCTCTTGTGTGGCCACTACATCCATGGCCTTGTTCACATCGGATAGGCTGAGGAAAAACACCTCCTCCTATGCCTCCTCTGTTGGTTCCTCACGGAGCTTTCGACGCTCGTCCTCTGATTCTTCAATTGTGAATGAACCAGGGTTGGGCCGATTCCTTATGCTTCGTGAGCCTGTGTTCCGGCAAGTGATTATCTCATAGTTTCCACACGCCTGTTCACACAGGATCAGGATCAGAGTTCTGTCGTGTTTATTGAACATCAACGTCTCTGTCCTACATAGGAACGATCTCCCTAGGAAGATGGCATGATCTGCGTCTGGCATGACGAAGAAGCAAGCTCTGGCCTTTACTCTCCCAATTTCAATAAGTACATTTGACGTTGTCCCACAAAATACAGCTTTGCAGTTAGCCCTGTGCAAGATGCTGCAATCCGAGCGGTCTATTTCCAATCCAAACCTAAGTGTGCCAGCCTCCTTGATGATGTTCATTTCCGCCCCTGTATCCACTATCGCTGCGCACTTAGATCCCTTTACTACCAGATCCACCATTCCACAGTCCACGCACTTCCAGTCCATCTTCATCCCAGTTTCCGCCCGCTCCGCCTCCTTTGGCAGAATCACGCTTAGATGGACATTTGGCACTAAGCGCCGAGAGAGCCTTCCCTTTAGCTCGTTGCAGAGCTTAGGAGCAGACGCCAAAATCTCTTTCAAGGTCACCAGGTCGTTATGACCCTCAAGTTACCTATCGATTACCTTCTCTACATCGAACCCTTCCTCCAATCGGACCGCATACTTCTTTTTCTTCGGCGCCGCATCGTGCAGAATCGGTTCGGCTTCCTCCTGGGCTCCCCTCTTCTTGACCCTTTGGTCCGCCCTTCGATCCTCCTCTTGGCGCAACCTCTCATCTTGCTCTTCCTCTTCGTCGTCCTCCTCTACTTCCACGGCCTCTTTCCTACGTTCTGGCTCCGGCTCCCTTCGAGGAGGTTCTCGGTTGGCGCTTGCCTTACTCTGGCCTCTCGTTTGCGCAACTTGTGCCATTCTCCCTTGCGCAGTAGGGGGCCTGAAGGTCATTCCAGACCGAGGCCCTGATCCTACAATGGCTACTCCAGGGTAGCCTTGTCGTCCAGGTACTGATTCAGGGCCGGATTCGTAGAGGAAGACTTTAAGGATGCTGGCCCTCCATTCCCTCACTTCTTCGCATATATCTACCAGCTTCCGCTGGTATCGGCCCATTTTCTCCCACAAGTCCTCCATCTTCTCCAAAAGGATTGTTGTTGGCTCCACTCTCTCACTTTCACCCTCTCCATCTGACTCAACGACTATAGGCTCTTCCTTTATAGCTCCTGCCCGTAGCCTCCGAGTC